CTGTGCATGATGGTGTGTGACGGCTCATCAGATTTCTCTCCCCTTCATACCTGGCCAGTGTGGCACGACAGCCAGAGTAGATGTCTTGGAAGCACTCAGGGTATCGGAGAGATCAACAACAGAATCAAATTAAATGTCATTTAGATAGCAGTGAATGAAGGGATTGTTTGACAGCACAAGGAAATGGATTTGCTCCTCACCTTTTATTTTGGCTTAGGATTCTTTTTCCTCCCCCGAACACAAATTTACCCTGTTTAAGGCAGGGACTCAACCTGATCTGGAAGTTGGTCAGATTTCTGCAGCGTTGCTCCAGTTAGGCTTGACTGCGCACATAGGAAACACACTGAGAGGGCGAGAAATGTGAGACTCAGGTTGAGGAGCACAGATCTCAGGATTGATAACTCAAGGCAGTGACAAAAAGCATAAAGAGCCTTTTACATGCTTGTTGTTCTGTTGTCAACTGAATTGAAGTTGGCTATTCATTATAATAAATGGAGCTGGTTGAAAGATAGAGTCCATAACGTATATCTCCCCTCAAGGGAAACTGTGTTTATGGGTGTTACTTACTCACTCACCCACTGATTTATGCTGGAGAGTTAACCAGGCGAGTCATATTGTGAAAAAATCCAGACCTTCAGGAATAGTTTATTCTAAGTCTTTTTTTTTTTTTTTAGTATTGTTTATCAGCCTTTATCTAAACTGTTTGATATTTTAATATGAGGTCAGTTGCATTCCTAAATCCAAGCCTCCACCTTATTGTGCATAGGCCACCCAGGCAGAGCCCCAGTGGGCTGCAGGGGGGCAAGACCGGATCAGTTGTGCTCCATCCCTCTACCTCTTAGCCTCATTTCTCTATGGATCTGAATAGCTTTACAGGTAAAATGGTATCCCCTGGCCATTTGAGGTTAAACTGTTCAGTGTAGGTGTGCAGATTACACTGTCATTATTTGCATCGCACTTTCTCTCACAATCTCCTGTTTTTTATCAGATCCATCATGTTGGTCGACCTGTTGACTTGTGAAAATTGTTTATTGCTTCTTTTTTCAATGCTAAAATAAGTGGAAAGAGTGATAATGCATTGGATAAGTGGTGGTAGATGGTGGCTGTGGTCATCCTGGGAACATTTGTAGCACAATCCCTCTGTAATGAAAACCCAACAGTGGTGTAGGTGGAGGAATGTTGCCTACTTAGATAGACTGGCACACATCAGTCTCCACAAAGTTTTTGTGCAACATGAGACAGGGTGGCGTGGCACTTTACCAAATTGTTCCTTAAAATCTTTCACCCGAGCTGTCATTGAGGGGTATTGAGATAGTGAGATTCCCAGAGAGGGCGGACTATCAGGTGTCGTGCTCATCAAGCTCAATTAGGTGGGAGGAAACCAAAGACAGATCACTGTGATGGTTCATTGTACACGCTGGTGTAAGGGAATAACTCAAACATGCCTTTGACAGCCTCTTCATTTGTTCAGAGATGACCAAAGACAAGCCTGATTAGCTGTGTTACAAAGCAATTGCATGCTCATTACATGAGCAGTTGAGTGAGTCAATTTTGAGGGCCAGCGGTCCCGATCTGTCTTGACAGAAGTGAAGTGATTTAATTAGAAAATGCTTGTCAGGTTGGGGAGAGAAAATACAGCCATGCTTTGAATTTAAAACAACAAAACAGTTATATCACTGGTGTTTAATACTACTTTAAAAGTTTTCTTTAAAAGCTTAACTTTTACAGTATCTTCTTTATTCGTTTTTATGCTCATGTAATATGTGTTAATTTAAGTGAATTGTCTATGTATGATGTTTCACTGCATATATACATTATAATCTTTTGCAACGGCCAAATAATGAAGAAACATCATGACCTTAGGCTACACTATATCTGAACTTAAATACACCTCAACTGTTATATATACAATGGGAACGGTCTCAAAAATCATTACATCATGTCCCAAACATGGACAAACCGCATTTGAAAAGTTGAACAAGGATCAGGTCTCTGAGAGAAATTGACAGTTAAAAGTTGCTCAACATTACAAAACTACCAACACAAAATTGGTTACAGAATCGCATGAACAAAACTGTTTCATTCTAAATTCACCAAAGTAAAATAATGGTAAAACTGCCATTTGGGTGCCTGTATTCACTGACTACAAACAAAAAGATTTATGCACATCCTGGTCAGTTGACCTAGGATCTTGAGAACATGTCTTTAGGTAGGAAGTTTGTTCCTTGTTTTTTGTTGTTGTTTTTTTTTTTTCAAGATGATTATTTTTGGAACATTTTAGCCTTAATTGACTGATACTTGGCATGGAGGAATTTGTACAAAGAGTGGTCTCGTAAACACCAGGATGAGAGAGAAATTTTGCATTACCTCTCCAGTCTGCTGATCTAAAACTAGACGTCTTTACGGGAAGTTCAGAGTTCAAAGCAGATTACTGCCTTCTTCATTCCTTCTTGAAGGAATGATTAAATATCCTATTATACACAGTTTAGGACTTGCATGGCAGCATTCCAAGGAGGATTGAAGCTGTTCCAAAAGAAAGGGTACACTTTGTAAAATTCATACAACAAACACTTGGCAGGAAGAAACAACCAAAGTGTCATAGGTATAACCTGAATGCAACCGTTAACCAAAATGAACTTTATCTGGCTGTTCTGAAACTGCTCTTTGACAGTAATCGAGTCAGTCCTGCCTGGTCATTTTATCTCTGATAGGTCATACGATATACATACTATTGTGCACTACTCAACAGGGACATGCTATTAAATACCAGGATAGTGACTTAAGGTACCTGAAGTAACTCTTGTCCTTTGGAGGAATGAACGTGGCAGCTACTACAGCTTGAATTACATAAGCTGTTTATAGCATGTAATTATACAGCAGTATTTGAGAGAAGATAGTTGAGTTGTTGCTTTGGTATTTTCATAGAAGCTGAGTTTTGTTCCATGTTCACTAGAGAATCCGAGTCCTGATGCAGCATAGCTGCACACAGCATAGTTTTGTTGGGATCTCATGTTACCTCACCTCTTGCTCCACATAGACTGCACTTAACCATTATGGCTTAACTTTTTCCACAGTCATTATGCTTTAATAAAATTACTGTCAATATAGCTGCCATATAGGACATTAACAATTTGCAAAAGGGCTCTGCTCTGTTATTGTTTTCAGGTGGACGGAAGTAAGCTTTGATGTCAGAGTTGGACACTATCCGATCACTCAAAATATAGTGCTTCTCACATTAACACCACATTCCATGTCTGACAGCTTTACTCTGCAATGTCAATAATGATGTGGCAAAACGACTGATCTGCCCACTAGCAAAAATAAGAGCAAAGAATAGAGGAAGTTATTGACAGACTTGGGTCTGCCTCAGCCTAATCTATTTTCCTTTACCATGCCAGCGTGGTTTGACTGAAAACGCGCAGCAGATGTGAAGGTTTCGGTAGATATCAAAATGTTTACCAGTTGAAATAAACATGGTCTACTTTAGGCACTGGAGAGGCCATTCCATTCTTCCAGTGAGCAGATAGGACACGCCATTCCGCCAATGGCTAAAATATACAGTTGTCAGAAAATATTAACTGATGAAACAGGGGTGAGGGGGAGTAGCAGTCACAGCACAACGATTGGTCAGTTATCTGAAGCATTAATCTTCTCTGGGGCTTGTTTTAGAGCAGACATAATACAGAGGCACGCTGACTGGCTCGGCACTGGCCGCTGCCTGGGGCTGCCTGGCGGCTGTGAGGAGCTGCTGAGAGGAATAGTTTTATCTCTCCAGCGGAAATGCTGCACCATCTCAGCCAAGATGAGACTGAGATTGCGCTCAGCTCCTCTAAAGGTGGCTGTAGAAAGGGGAGTCTCCGCATAAGTAGCTGATATGAGTGTTTTATTCCTCAAAACGGCTTCCTTACTCGCACTGTCAGTGAGATATGCTTTTGACTTGTGAAGACAAACTGCACCCTTAAGGAACCACAAATACAGAAGAGTGTGTTTGGTTTCCTGATGACTGTAGATAGTCTTGTCAGTGCCCAGGGCTAGACATTTACATCCCAGTAGGAGTAGTTCTTTAACGAATTGCAAGGGGAGTAGCAGCCTGCCTTGAGGTGTGTAGGTTTTTTGTTGTTGTTGTTTTTTTTTTTTACTTGTGATTAATAATGGATTGTCATCTTTCTGTGTTAGATCCCTCTGTGCTGCTGTAAATACCTACTACCTGGCATGTTATTGCTGCCCCCTCAACTGCTCCTATGTGCTGTTTAGCAACAAGATAGCACTCCTCATGGACCTGCTGCTGCATCAGCTAACAGTAAGTTTATGCATCCCAACACATGACTGAGACCTAATTTGCCATCACAAACAAATGTATCATAAATTATGTGATAAGATTCAGCATAGTTTGTGCCAACAGCGTCATTTCAATTTGTATGAAGTACAATAAATGTAAAGGGGATGCTGAATATGTTTGAATACAAGGTATTCAAGGCGATAATTAAAAGTATTCTAACGTAGTCACACCTAAAATTTAACCTTTTCATTAAGCCTCCCTTAATTTCTTTGCATTCATCTGTTGATATACTGATCTTTGAGTGGTGTCAGTTCCTGCCACAGTGTTAATGAAAGACAGAGCAAGACACAAGCTAGGGAGTAACAAGCTGTTACCCAACCTCTCTTCAGATGCCTCCTGACTGAGGGAATGTGAGAGTTCAGTCAGGCAGGCAGGCAGGCTGCATTGCGGCGACATGTCAGCCCATATCCTTCAGCACTCTGTAAGAAGGACTGTAAACATCAGCCCACTCCAAACATCTAACGGTGGCGGCTCGCTGGGGCCGCCTACACTCCCAACACAGACAGGACAAGGCGCAGGCACAGGGTTGTGGTACATGCATGAACTCTACTGGGGCTTCCTTCTGCAGTGCCGAGTTCCAATCCAAAGCAGTCATATTTCCTTAGGGCACACAGGGAGAGGTTAGCCCGTATGCTTCAGTTTATATAAAACATATCCCAGCAGCTGCTCTGCTGACTGACATATCCAGCAGCACTGCAGGAGACAAACTAACTGTTCTGTGTGTTCAATGCAGATTAAGAATTAGGCTCAAAAATGATTCCCGCTCCTAAACACCCTGCTTTAATAACTTGTGATTTCATTAAAAAAAATCAGACAACAAAGTTTTCAAATTCTCAGCATTTGTTGTTGTGTTTTACTGTTTGTATTGAATACTGAGTATTCATGTGTCTATGTTCTGGTATGCGTGTATGTGAGCACTAGAGTAAAGCAGTGGGGGTTGCACTGCCATATGAGCATTTACCCTTTTAATTAGATTTGTGGAGAATGTCGGTGGATTTACCTATGCTGTCAGCATTCACCCCAACCATTAGACCAAATGAGAAGGTTTTACCTTTGCAAGACTCTCCACTAAACAGTAGCACTATATTTTAAACAAGGACCTCTGCTTGTGTGTTTCATGGAGTTTGTCTGTACATGCAAATGAGAAAAAAACTGACTATAATGTCTTAATTGGGCTTCCATCTTGTCAGCATGTAGCACTTTCATAGTATGTCTTTACTTATTAAGACCAGCTTTTTTGTCATTTGTGTGGCAGAGGAAATGCCTTAAACAGCTTCTATGTGCCTTTAATTGTAGCTATTCCAAATCAAGGGAGTGTAATCTACTAATGGTGCTCGTGGCTTAAAGCTGGTGATTGATAAACTAGTAAAATGTAATGTACCGACAACATGCAAAAAGCCTTTGCTAAACAAAAACAGGGTCAATGAATCCGTGTGCTGAGGGTTAAACTGACCTGTCTTTTGTTTCTCTCTCTACTCTCTGTTGTTTCCAATGGCATTTGGATGCAGTCAGATTTCTAATGTCAGCATCAGGTTTCATCAGAGAGTATATTTTTTATTAATTGCTCAATGTACAGGTAGGCTACCTTCTGTAAACATTATTTTTTCTTCCATTCCTGCAGCTGTATGTCCCAGATGAGGACAAATCCATTTTTGGGCGCAGTGTGAACAAACAGGTCTTTGAAGGTTTGACAACAGGCCTGCTGCAGACCATTGCTACCATCCTTGGGTCCCTGTGGCCACATATCTCTGAGTCTGGGCAAGGCGAAAAGACATGGATTTCCTCCCCAGATACAAAGGTCAAGAGCTCTGCCACAGAGTCCTTCAACACTCGCACACAAGACCTAATCAGGTATTTTCCTCCCAGTGCTCCGTGCTACTCTCACACTGCTTCTCCTCCTCCTACATGGCACCTCTTTTTCTCATCTCATGACCTTTTTACCTCCTTTAGTACATCCCTCCTCCACTCCTCTTCACTCAGTTGAGAGTTGGTCAACCTCTGATTTCCTCAACAGTGTGCCATATGTAAAGAATAGGCTGACAAAATGTCCGTTCTCTTGGAAATGGTCCAACTGGTGTTTTGTTAGAATGGGAGTAGTGTGAGAATGAGGGTGTATTCTGGCATCCTGCTCCAGCTTGTACTTTTTCCATACATTCAGTGCCACATTTCAAGTAAAATCAGTTTCTAGGGGGGCCACAGTAGCATAAACAAAAGAGCACTTCCAAAGCTTTGAAAGTTCTCCTTGAACCTGGCGTTGGAACTATCCATGTGGGTCTGGCCTGTAGGAGTCGGGGTTGTGTAGGAGAAATGTGGGTTGTGAGGAAAGGCAGGCCACGGCCGGATGAAGCCGTGTGGAAGAGTGCAGTCTTTCCACCATCTCTCCCACAAGCCATGATTCATCTGGACAGAGCAGCTGCACAGGCACACCACTCTCATCCACTGACCCAGTCGTAACCCTGGAGACAGGGGAGGGCCTGAGAAAAATGGTGTCATCAGCCTGGTAATCCCAAGTATGAGCACAAGATTTACCTCAACTGCACTGTATAATGTATATGCTAGAGAGGAAGGACAAAAGATCAAAACATTTTTAGCTTTTTGCAACACTCCCATTTTGCGAACCTATATATCACAAAGCGGGGAGATCACCATTTCCTTTCCTCGCATTACCAGTTTCTCAGTTTTGCTTTCAGTGCTTTTAGTACCCTATCATTGTCATAAATGTTTTCAGTTCATACTCACATGAGGAGATGCATCAAGAGGCAAGTTTGACCACCAAGCAAGTGTCAGACAGAGAGCAGGCATTGAACAAAGCAGTCAGTGTGAGGAGAGATCCTTTCAAGCCAAGTAAAGCTGTGGAAGAGGATCACGTCAAAACAATGGGACTTGGTTCAAGTGTCAGATGACCTGCAGTGGAGGTTGAAAACCGTCATAATCACCTGTTTTGAGAGGACCTCAATGAGTGACAGTTCTAACAAAAAAAGGTATGTGAAAGAAGTGAGCAGTTAAGACGAATCGTGGCTTCACAGTGACCACATCAGCTACTAGAAAGCCTTGATTGGCAGCTGTAGTGCTCTGTAGATTTTCGTAAGCTGTTGGTGCCTGAGCTGAGCCCAAAGGTCCACACATACCGGAGCTGTGAGAAGGCGGCCCCAGGTCAGCGGACTGTCAAGGGCCCAAAGCTGGGCTGGCACAACAGCCCTCTAATGACACTATTAGCAGTGATTTGTGGCTGAAAGAGTACAGGGAACATGATCATGAAACCTGTCATTGGCGAAGACAAATTGGAGATATCACAGTAATAGCAGGGGGTGGAGGGCTTAGGTGAGGTATCCGCTTTCAGCTGCAGTGCTGTGGAAATATGCACAGTAAAGGCCTTTGTTTGCCTGTGTGAGATGAGCTTTTTTTACAAAGCAAGTCTTCCATAGTACATTTGTTTTACCATTAGGGGGGAATGCCATTAACAACTGCATGTTTTTTTTTTTCTTTTTTGTGTTTCTTCCAGCTATGTAGTAAACATGGGTTTGATTGACAAGCTATACGGGTGCTTCTTGTCAGTCCAAGGTCCTGTAGACGAGCACCCCAAGATGTCTGCTTTCCTCCAGCAAGCCTCAGCTCTGCTGCACAGCATGTGCAAGCTGTGTTTTGTCGTTACAGGACGGTGAGCATTCTCTTACTCTATTACACACCTTAAACATCTCTGTGATCTCTTGATCTTCCTCTGACAAACACACACACACACTTTTCTCTGTGTGTCTAATGACAGAGACTGAGTCACTGTCAGTTCTTAAATGACACAAGGATCCATAAAGAAAGGGCTCATGTTTAGTCCAACAAAGACGGTGGTTCCTCTGCAATCAGCCAGCAGATTGTTTCCTCCAGCCAGCTAGCTGGCTAAGCTGTTGTTACTGCAGATAGAGATAGGCATCTACTTGACCCAGCGCTCTGTCACTCACCATAAAGCTTTGCCTGCAGCGTGGGGGGAGCCCACCCACGTGTGCTACAGTGACCTCCCCTCAGAGAGGTTCAGTGGCGCCGCTGACAGAGGCTAAGCACACAGTCACACCAAGGGACATCAGTGCCGCAATTCCTCACTTAAAAAGGAAAATAAATGCTGACAATGGTAACAGGGTCAGAAATGCATTGATGTCATGCATTATAATCAAATTTAAACTGGAATAAGCTTGATCTATGTATCAATAGAGCCAATTAAGTTTTGTTCTGTAACAACCCAACCTCTTGGCAGTACATTACTCCAAGATTTTGTCATTGCATTTTAAGTGTCGCCCAACGCATTGCTACACCTTGCCAGCTACAAGGTGCTGCGGTAACAATGACCAGCTGCTTCACACCAGCACGGTAGAAGACCGCTACAGCAGGACTATGTTTGTCACTGAATATCTGTGAGAAAACAAAGTGTCAGACTTTGCAGGTTTAATGAGACCAGTGTTATGATCAATATAGCAGCCAGCAAGCTAAGTTCTGCCAAGACTCTGTGTGTGTCGTACATAAGAATGCTCAGTGGGCTTGCGGAATATTTTCGCCATGCCAGTTGCTGTGTCAGGGGATTATAGTGGCATTAGGAGGCTGTCTTCTTGCCTAGCAGCATATTTCACGGAGAGCCTGTTGGCTAACATCAAGTATCAGCATGCACTGTAAGTTTCATCCAGAGGTCACACACCCTCCATTCTACATGGCTGCAAATCATAGCTGGTGCTGCTGCGGTAGTCTTAAATTGTCTGTCTGCACTAGCTGAGGGTTTTCACTGGCGTCTTCTGCATTGTGACTGAAATACATTTATTGCATTATTTGCAATAATGGTGAATTTCTGGTCCAGTTGACCCTGCAGGCACTGATACGATTTAATAATACTTTATTATTTCACATTGTGTTAAAATTCTGTAATTGTTTATTTTCTATGGTTCGACTCTCCACCTACTGTAAATTTCGATCTTTTGAAGCTCTAACGTGAAAAATTCACAGTAAAAAAACTAAATATTTTATAATTCTCCTGCACCAATGCGAAACGGGTTGTTTAGATCTTTGACTTACTAAATGGAGCCTTTTCTCCATGCTGTCAGGCTTTTACTTAGTGCCTCTGCTTTCCAACTAGCATTATCCCTATCTTTGTTGTTAGATTTGATGTTCAATGAACGGATGATTACAAAGATGCCTTAAACTTACACGGTGGCATGTTTTTGTAGCCAAACAAACTACATATCACCTTGAATCCTCTTAGGCGGACCTCGATTAAATGTGCCGGAGCACTCCACACCTTGTCAGTCAGCTCATTTCTTCTATCTGCCCATTTGAAGTCCCTGCCATGAGCTTCAGTCATGGCATTTCTATGTTTACTGTAGCTTGAGTGGGAGCGGGAGAGTCAATCTTGAATCTTGAATCTTGAATCTCTTCAGCTGCAACCAAACTGGCAGGTAGTGAGTTTTACTCGTTAAGTCAAAAACTGAAACAGAGTTGAAGCTCCTTGCATGCGAAGAATAACAAAACTGCGGTTCCATAAATGAACAGAAGCAAAAGAAGAGTAGGAGATTTAAGGTGTGCTCCAACATGTCCATATGCAACACATTTTAAATGTGGTGTTTTTCCAATCACTGCAGTCAATTAAGTCAGGTAATACAGCAGCACTAACGTGGTAGTATCTTAAGGGAAAGTCATCTCTAAGCACTTGTTCGGTGAGTAAATCTTGAAGCCGCTGAGGTCTAGACTGTCATTTGCCTCCTCAGTCGTGGGACGTCGCAGTGAGACAGTCTGTTTTTGCGTGACACTGGCAGCAGAAAGGCACAAAGTAAAGACCCTATAAGCTACATAGTGTTTCCTAGTATCATATTGTACATATTTGTTAATAATTGGTTACAGTTATCTTTGGTTTCACTGACCACACACTTCCTCTCCAGTGCTCCTAGTATATTTGACAATAAACGCCAGGACCCCACTGGATTGACGGCCCTGCTGCAGTCCACAGACCTGGTGGGAGTGGTGCACACTCTGTATTGTATCCTGCTGCACAGTTTTGCACCAGAGTCTGCTTCCCAAAGTCAGGAACCTTACGGCCCTGGGGTCATCCAGGTGGCTTCCCAAGGCATCCGCTTCCTCAACAGTTTTGCCCTGCTTGACCTATCCGCCTTCCAGGTATTTATAATAAATCCAAAATATATTCTGTTTTCACTTTTCACAAATAAAAAATCCCTTAAACATCAAGCAGATTTTGCTGTTGGTGAAGATTCTAATTTTTTTCTTTACTGTTCTGCATCTGATTGTCTGATTATTCCAGCATGTTTTCTGCATTGTGGCTGCAATATTATGCTTTACATATGTTATAGAATGGCATTCACGGTACATGGTTTGTAGGAGGAATGGCTGGTACCTTGGTGTTAACTAACTGGTATTTGCACGCAACAATAACACGACTTTGCCCTTATTTAAAATTGCAGGCTATTACAAAAATGCCTACAAATATTTAAATAAAAAATCTGGGTTTAATAAATCTGTGTTTGTGATCAGATTGATGCTAGTTCATTTGTTAAGAGCCATTAGAAGAGGAGTGCTCTCCTCCTAAGGAGTACTCTCCTCAGGACAAAGCTGACCTATGGACATAAACACAGGTGGCCTTTGACCACAGGTCAGTTGTTGGGGTTGACTAGAGCCCGGTGGGTCAGCAGTTAGGATGGAGCGCGAGTGATTAGCACTGTATGCAGGGCCGTACATTACCCACCCTGAGGAAGAGAGGGCGACAGCTTCACTGTGCTAAGTCACCACATCGACGGGAAGGCACGAGAGCAAGCGAGAATGCTGTTAATTATTTTAATGTCTTGTGGTAATTACTTTGAAGTAGCTTCCTCTCACTGACCTGCCATTCAGGCAACTCAAAACAGCTGGAAATAAAAGCATTTCACTGCCAGAGTTTTATGAACATTTTAAATAATGTTTCTTTCTCTGGCCGGGAGTTGTAATCACCTTGTGTTTCACATTACCTCACAGCACCGGCTAATATGTGTTGCGGTGGATGGATGATCAGTATTCAGGCTCCCAGTAATATGTTTAGGGCGGAATTTCAAAAGGTTTCAATGCAGTGTAAATAACTGGATTTTGCAGTGGTTGCATTTTGGCAGAATGTGTCACAACAAATCGGTGATCCTCGAAAATACATTTTTGCCCTTTTTGGGTAGCGGTTTTCCTGTTTGCCTTTTCATACTTTCAGTTGATTTTTTTTATTTTTATTTTTATCTAAAAGTATTTTTTTATTGTTAAGCAACATTTTCTTTGTTCTGTTTGACAGCTTCTTACATGGTACTTTAATATGTTGCCTGCATGCGTGCATGAATTATGTGGCCAGTAAACAGCCTTTTAGCTTCTTAGGTATTATGTCGGTAGATGTCACAATACTAACACACCCAAACTTCCACTGGAATAGTGATGGTCTTATGGTGCTCGGTCACACTGACATGTTTAATAAATACTGTCTCTGAGCTGCTCATTGCATCTCATTTCTGAGCGGGATTGTGGTGTTTTATGGTGCGACCCCGCTTGAGTTGTGTATACTCTGAGACCATGTATGTTCCCACCGGCGAACATAGAAGATTTTATTACTTTGTGTTGTTATTGTATTGAGCCCTTTGTAGTCACAATTATAGACATTTTATGCTTTATTTACTGTAAAACATACTAACATGTTTTGTCTTTGACCTGTCAGACTGTTCTAGGAGCTGAGGGCCTGTCTCTAGCTTTCCGACACATTGTCAGCTCCCTGCTATGGTACTGTACCCAGCATTCCTCTGAAGAGCTGCTGCACAAAGTCATCATCTGTGTGGGATACTTTACCGTTAACCACCCAGACAACCAGGTAACCCAGCTTGAACATGCACTCACTGCACACAAGGCAATTCAAGATTTTTCACTTTAACAAAACCAAACCATTCTTAACACTGAGACATAATTTTGTTATAGTTAAAGCTGAAACTTAGAATTGCTTTTGTTATTAATTTTGTCGATTAATTGTTAGATTAATCAGTATGTAAAATATAAAAGGTTGTGACAAATACCCATCGTAATTACTAAAAGTGTTGATTGTAATTTGTCTTTATTTGTCAGGCCAACAATGGGGAAAAAAAGGTATTAAATTGAAATGTACTGTAAAATAACTGAGCGTTTTCACTAAATGAGGTTAACATATAGGCTGCTTTTTTCTTACATTTTGTCCACGAAATGTTTGGAAGCTGTGGAAAATGTCAGTTTTAATTCCCCATAACTGATTTAAACCCAGAGATATTCAGCTTACTATCATATACAGAAAAGATGAGCATCATATCCTCATAAATCCTCAGAATCCGGAATGAGATACTGTCTGTACTTTTTACTTGGCAAAAATTACTAAAACAATTGAATAGTTTCCTATTAACTTTCTGTCTACGAAGTAATTCATTAATCTAATTATTGTGTCAGAGCTACTTAACACAATTAACCAACTGCTAAAATTGTAATCGATATCCTGTCTGTCAATCTCCTAATTGTTTAATTGTTTCAGCACAAGTTACATTTAATGCTCTCAGTTGTATCGACTGAGTTAGAAGATCCGGGTAATATCATCTTACTATTGTTGTGTTCATGTATTATTTGTCAGAAAAAGGGTGTAGTTTTTTAATTGTAACAAAAAGCACCTGTTTAAAGATTCATGCCTTGGCACCTTCCTGCTTTTGGTCTGTGTGTCGTCTATTGTCACGCAGAGTGACCCATTGTTCCCTCCTGGTAAAGCAGAGCAGCGTGCTGGCCTCGGTGTTACAACTACTTAGGGGGCTCTATGGGAGTGAGCAGGATGTGATGGAGCAGACCTTGCTGCTGTGTAATTGGCTGTCATGCGTGGCCCGTCTACCAGACCTCTGATTAGCCATGCTACAGTTGGCTGGGCTTTGATTATATTAAGACTGACCCACACAGGCAGAAGCCACAGCTTCAGACCTCTCATATGTCATTTAGGTACGCGCGGTCGCAGTCAACCCCCATTGCCACAATTTATAGGCTGATTACTGATTATAATTTACCAGATTTTTTATTTCTAATTTAAAGGATCTTCCTCCAGTCTATGGCACTTTCCTGTCCTCTCAGCTCATATCCAATTTAATTATTCTGATGTACAGAATTAGCATTTCTTGGTCATTGTAGATCCAATTTGCATATTATATTGAATAATTGAATGAGGACTGATGATTAAATTAAATAGGTGACGGATGATTCATCTTTGTACACCCACATCAGCATTAACAGAGCTTGACTGTATTTGGTGGAGAGAAAAAAAACATTTGCATGTTGCTAGTTTGAAGCAAAATTTGTCATTCCTCCACAGCCTGGGTAATTCCAATATTATCCAAGTTATGTGAAAAAGCAACCCCAAAAAAATCCCTTTACCTTGCTTTCGGGTTAAGATTTAGTTTTAAAAAATCATATTTAAGTATAGATTGTCAGGAAACAAGATCCCACACAACCTCCACGCAGTTGATCTTTGCCAGTAGTCCAGTTCCTGGAATGCATCCATTCAGTTCCGCACCAAGATGGATGGCGTTAAGGAGAATATTTAGAGCAGCTTGAGCTTTTCTCAAGCTAATGTAAGCATTGGCAGAACACAAAAGCGGCCCGACCCGAGGCCTGTGCGGTTGCAGAGACTGCTGATTCACTGTCGGCACACCAGCTTTTGTTTATATATATGCTTGAGAAATAAGGCTGCTCATAAAAACCAGAACTTTGAAGCAGCACTATACGTAGTGATGTATTCCCTCTGCTCTAGGGGCATGAATAATTCACCTTGTCACACAAAAAGCCATCGGGAGAGTGACATATGTAGGCTTGTGTGTTTTTCAAGTGTGTATCTGCTCATGGGGGCCACCGAGCCATGTAGCCATATGTTTCATTGTCTGTTGGTTGCGTCCATAGAGACCTTTTGACAAAAAAGCAGAACAAATGACACCTATTTTGTAACCGACACGTAACTGTTCTTCCTTTTACCCAGAAGAGGTATGTCCCGGTAATCTCCTTGTCTTTAAATACAGTGATTCATTTGTGAATCATCCATGGTGATGAGCTGTTGAATCTTTGAGCTGACGAGACTGTAATTGTAAGCTGTTGACATGTTAACCCACCTGAGTCCTGCTTCCTTTTTAGAAAGACACAAGCAATTTGAGAGTGTGGAAAATCTTAAAAAAACGTTGCTTTTTTTTTTGTGACTACATGGAAAATGGCCACACGCAAAGCGGAGTGAGCACCACACCCAAACGCTGTTGCCCCCATAACGCACAAATATACACAGAAGCAGGTGTAATGTCAGTTAGCGTACGGACATTTAATAAAAATGTAATGGGATCGTTTTCCCTGCACTGGCTGCTGAGATTACCTGACTCCCTTGTGCTTATATTTCCTGAACTGTTTTCTTTATACCAGTAAGCATTACATGAGCTATCGTCTCTACACTGAACATCCCACACACATCTCCAGAGCTCAACCTTATCTGTGGGGTCATTCCTCTTCTTCCCATTCTCTACGAGGGCGTTTCCTCTGCCCCGCAGGCCCAAGCCAAGTTTTAGGCTTGTAATTCCTGTTAACCTGATGTCGAAACGCTCCCTTCAGCAGTCCATTACTGCCAAGACAACCAGGCCCTCACTGCCTGCAGGGTAAGTGCAGCTCGTGCAGACCATAGGGAGCCAACACCGGGGAATGCACACTCTGTATCACCCAGCAGAGTAAACAGAGGCAGAGAAACGCAGACAGACACACTCTCCAGTGACTGGCAGGAGAGGGCCTTATTGTTTGCTCGGTAGATGATTTACACTCTGCTTTAAGGGTGAATGCAGGTCCAACTGACTTTAAGTGAGGCTTAGGACATTTTTATCCCTGCAAACCTTTCAGTGAGGAGTTTCCATTTGTCTGTAACACTGTCGTCAGGTTAGTTTTAGAGCAGAATTATCAGCAAGTAGGATCTGCGATGGAATGACAGAGTCAGCTCATAGAGATAAATAAAGAGTTATTAAGCTTTGTTGTATAAACAGCAGCTTTTTTATGGGATTTTAAAACAACTGACAATTACCTTAAAAGTCAAGTTGGAGTGTCTATGTCAATGTCTGCGTCGCTAGCATCCAATTGTCCAAAAGCAATTTACACAGCGTCCTGTGCTCGTCTCAGTAAGCCATCATAAATGTTGTAAAGAAGCACTAAACAGTTTGACTTATTTTGGTCTGTGGTGTCTGCTGTACTGCTCGCCTTATCAGTAAGACAGTTCCACTCTGATGGATCTGGTTTATATTGTGGATTCAAGCGTCAGATATATGGCCCTGCTCTGACACTGGTTCCTCCTGAGGTGTTCAGGCTGTCTAGACGCTGCGATGAATGGAGAGTCCTATACACATTCAAGATCATCACTCTAAACATTTATAATTAGATTTGCGCAGTAAGAAATGAATACCATTTCTTTGCCTCGGCCAGCAGTGCTGCAGCATTGTGCGTAGGGGCTAATTATGCTATTTGAGAGTTACGCTCTACTGTGCTTTCTCTTTGTTTTCTTCTCTGTTCTTAAAACTGTTTTAACTTGGGTTTCTACTTCAGCAGTGGGGCTTTTCCCAGGATTTGTTTGCGTTTCAGAACATTAACTTTACACACTCTTTGTTGTCATTGTGGACAGTGAGGAAGTTATGTAATGGAAGCGTCATAAAACCCGGCACCATTTGAAAATGCCAGGTCTCTGAACTTAAGAAAGAACAGAGCAGCCAAGACACTTGAGTTTTTACAGGGTCTGCGTTATATGTGGGCCAGATGCATGGGTTCAGATGCTTGTTAGTTTTATGATGTCAGGCTGTGAGCTGCAGATACTACAGAGGTAACGCTACGGCATAATCTCTAGTTGGAAATCATTTTGGGTTCTGGTGTTGCTCTTCACCTGGTAGAGGTGTGGAAAGTTGGCAAGGTTCCTTTGTTACCTCCAGACGCTTGCTGCCACCAGGCTTTGTTTTATGTCTTTCTGCGTCAGGCACTTGAGGGTGGACAATTTGTTTAGGCAGCTGAAGATGGAACTGTGCGTAGTGGAGGATTATGAGATTGTTGGGTGATTTGTGGGTTGGATCTTCTCAGAGCCCTAGTTTAAACATCCAACACTTGCTGTGGTGTTAAATTATGATAGCTCAACTATAAAGTTATGGATTAAAACGCAAAAATGAATTCTTTAGCTTTTGCAGAATCATGGTTTTGGCTTTCTAATGAGTTCAGCTGCATGAATTTATGATCCTCCATCCCCATTGCCAGTTTGTCTTTGGGCAGTGTTGCAATAGAAGATAAATATGATGATGTAGGATTTAGTGCAAAGTAGCATGAAAATGCTAAAACTACATGCACTGAAAATAAGCAGCTCTACTTTTGAAAACAACCAGAGCTTGCCTCCTCCCCCCCCTCCCCTCCTTCACTGGATGTATTTGTCCACAGAGTTCCACATTCCTTTTGTGAAAAACACTTATTGAGTCAGTGAAACTTTGGGGATTTTGTTCTTCCATTGCTATGCACACATATCTGTTGCAACCTGTAATGTGTTCAATTATTTAATTCAATATTGCACTCTGTAAAACACACCAAAGCAGAAATTATGTGTTCTTTCAGCTTACAAAAATTATCCACTTAACTTATTAACACTTACATTTCAAGTTAACATATTCAGGGCTCTTCAGATTTTTAAATATTTGTGATGCTTTAAAGTTTAGATCGTTTGACCTGCCCATATAGTTTCTTTAAACAAATAACGGTAAAAAAATGGAACTGTTTTGTGTCCCTTTGAACACCGCTGTAGACGACAGCTCTGAGAAGCTTCACCTTGAACTGATAAAAGCGATGAATTATCACTTTGTTTATCCTGCTGCTCAAACTTGGAGTGCATTATCAAAGGAGAAGCCAATGGAAGAGTATTAGAGAGTGTATTTTTAAAATCTTGTAAATCTCGTGAATTTATGTCACCGTGACTTGGGGACCTCACCTTGCCCTTCTGGTTTCCATTGTCATTGAGCCCAGGAGTCCTGTAGTCTGTTCCTGTAAAGCAGTGCAGCTTTTTTTCAGACAAGATTTAGCATGCTGACCCTGTGGCTCTCAGAGGGGTGCTGATGGTCTTCCCAGGCTCAGGGGAGATGACCAGAGCATTAGGCTGAGCCCCCTTCCTTTACAGCAGTACCCTTCTAATCAAATGAGGCTAGAAATGATTTGGTTGCAATACCGGTGGCCCGGATGTGAGAGCGTGTGATTGACGGGCTGTGATGAAGAGCAGGATGTCGGTGGGGTGAAAATACCATTAATGTTATTGCTCATTTCTTAAAGTGGGGGTGGCCACACTGTCAGTGGAGGTTTGCTCACCCTGCCTTTCACCCGCCACCAGCCACCCCACCTCTACTTACCCCTGTTGCACTATGAATGCCCTCTCAACCGGAGCTTCACTCCTACAGGGCGGTAACAAACATTTGCACTGGTTCTGTGCTTCAGCGTTGCTTAAAGAGCTTAACACAAAACTTGAAAGTGAAGTTTTAACCGCTGGTTATGACATCAGGTCACATTTCTCATTTCCCTCTTATGTTACAGCAGCGCTGCTATTACCGTTGGTACAAAGGAAGAACAAAACATCCCATCATCTTGTTTTATAGCCCATAATTGCGTGGTGGGAGGCTGTGCCCCACAGGTCTCCTCCTAATGGCTGTTTGTGTGTTGTTTTAGTGGCAGATTTACATGTAGGAGGGGCACAGGGGCGGTGATTTACAACCAGCAGTGCCACTGACTGGCTTAGTGACTGACTGGCCCTGCTCCCTGTGTGTGTTCCAGGTGATAGTGCAGTCTGGCCGCCAGCCCAGCGTGCTGCAGAAACTGTGTCAGCTGCCCTTCCAGTATTTCAGCCACCCGCGCCTCATCAGAGTGCTCTTCCCCTCCCTCATCTCGGCCAGCTACAACAACTCCCAGAACAAGGTCATCCTGCAGCAGGAGATGAGCTGCGTGCTGCTGGCTACATTCATCCAGGTAAATATAGAAACATGAGGTCCCATATACAGTATATATATGCACATGAATAGTTTTTCTTTACTACTGGCTGCAGGCTACAAAGAATGCATTTCACTGGGCATTGTACTCATGTATTAACTGCATGTGACAAATAAAAATCTCTAATATCTCATTACCTTATCTTATTCTTGTTGTCCCTGCTGTAGCGGGCCAGGGTTTGAATCCGACCTGTGGCCCTTGGCTGTGATGTCATTCCCTCTCTCCCCCCCTTATATATATATATATATATATATAAACCAAACAAAAATGTCTGCATCAAAAAATAAATATAAAAAGAGGCGTGACTCTCTCCAATGTGTAAAATGTATTAAAAAATCTATTTGAAAAAACCTACAAAAAACCAAAAACATCTTTTTTGGAGTTGAGAGTTTCATGCATCTAAAATATCCAATCACTAAATTTGTTGCACATCAAAAGGAAACCTCTGCCTCTGCATCGGCTGGTAAACAATTGCTCATCTGGGCCCTGGTGAATCTGTAACAGGAAGGCTTTTACAAAGATAAATGGCTTCCTTCACAGTGGATTTACCTGCCACTGGTTCACCTCCCAGTAAACAGCTTGTCTCCTTCATCTTCCTCTTGACAACCCGCCCCTCACCACTCTGCAACCACCACTGTTTAGACACCGATTAACTTCCATTCAAAGGGAGACGAGCTATTGTCATTTCTTTCAAACAAAGCAATAATGCATGGTGTCTTGCCCCGCTGCCCTCATTGTTGAGTTAACCTCAAGAACATTCCTCAGAGTGTAGTAGTAGTCAGAATTTGATCCAGGATGGTTCTTTAACACCTGTTGTGTTAAAAACATTTAGTATGATCCGTAATTGTCACAACAATGAAATGTAGCAGATTTAATTTTTATGGGTTTATTTTTTTTGCTGGAAGGATTCACTAATCTTAGGTCAGATAAATAGGATTGTACTCACACAGCACTACTAGTGAGTACCTGCAGTATACTGTTAGAGTTGGCATTAATACCTGTTATTAATTCCTCTAGGACTGTGCTGCAAATGAGAAAGATTCAGACAACAAAACAAAGCAAGCAGGTAAGTTATTCTGATACCTGTATCAAATGCATAACAGAAAGTAGTTTGATTGTATTGATTTCATATTTTTAATTCTATAAAGATATTTTAATGGTTTAAAAAATGTATTAACAGCTATTTTTTAAATGTAGGTTCTCCGAACAATTAATACCAGTAATATTTTTAATGTATTTGATATTGAGACGTTAACAGTTAATCAGTTATTCACTGTAAAGAATTTATCTCTGCACATGTTTTGGTGAAATTTAGATTTTTTTTCCAGTTTTAAACTTATTATTAAGGATTCCTGTTGGACAATCAGTATAATGTAGTTGTTCTTTTCTGTCTGTGCAAAGTTTCCCAGCCACTGGATTACTGCGAGTTGTCTAACCGCTTTCCAAGAGATCAGTGGGACTCAGCGCTGCAGTTTTTTCTCAAGAAACAGGAAGAGTGATGGAGTTGCACAGTGTCCTGAATGGATAAGCACAGTATAAACACTGCAAAAGAGAGTGGAGTTGTTTTTGGATGTGTTTGTCTTTTTGTTTGTCTTTTTTTCCTGACTTAAAGTCTGCACAAGAGTTAATATGATCTTCAGACTTTGTCAAATTTAAAGATTGTGAAGCCTTATCCGGTTTTTGTGCATCTGTTTTGATTTCTTGGAAATCTGATTGATGTTTGAGGAATTTGCACAAAATGTCTTTTGTTTGTACATTGCAGTTACTTAGAACACATGCACAACTATTCCATTTGATGTCTAAACAAGCCATTTGTTTCTCTTTGTGTTTCTGTTGTAGATAGAAATGGATCCATTTTCAGTGCAGTGACTATCTAAACCTGAAACATTTACTGATACTGTAATATTGAATTTGCCAAGCATTTTCATTAATACTGTTTATGTTAATTTATTGTATTTGTCTCATTTTTCAATGTGAATGAATGTTTTCTTTAGTCTACAGAATGCCAGTCACGAGTAATATGACCTGCCTTGATTGCAAATGTGTTAAGAGTTATATTTTTCAAGTTCACGTCATTTTCTTTTCTTTTCTCTCTCTCTGTTAAGAGACACTTACAAATTAATATAATTTATTGAGTTATTTGCCTTTATCATATAAAATAAAATACTGATGGTAATGTATTGTTGTTCTTCAGTTTTATTCTGTATAACCTGCAATGTTAAATTAATATCACGAGTGTGACTTAACAAACAACACTTTGTGTTGCGTCTTCTCTTGTCAGCTAGACTCTCATGAACTTGGATAATAAAGATGTCCTTGGTCTATGATTTGACGGATAAATGCAATTTGTAGAAAACAATCTCCGTTACTGAATCTCAAAGAAACATGAATATACTGAATATATACTGGTCTTCATTGGTCCTCATAAACTGACACCAGCAAGAAGAAAACAGGGTTTCAGATGTAAAAAGAAAATATTTTAAAGAACTCTTGAATCTACTTTTGGACACCACCAGTGTGTCTAGCTGCATCAAGGAAGCCACCTTCCTCTGTACCTGCCCTGTACTGATTGTGGGAATTTTATGGATGAATTAGTTTATATTCAAAATATAGTGATACAGTTTTTTCAGGCAGCATTTTACAGGCTAAGACCATGTTGGGGAAAAGACAAAAAACTGCCCTTTTAATTTTTTTCTGTGTGAAACTGCTGAACTATTTAAGCATTTTTGATAAAAAATCCTAAAATATCAGCTTTCAAATTCAAAATGTGCGTTTGTTTTAAAATTCATATCAACATATATCAAATGTCATTAGATAGTCTTTTTCTAATTAATATTTCCTTCTTACATGTATTGTCGCTACTGTGGCACACATTTTAAAGATTTATTGGCCTATATCAGCATGTCTGAAAGACTTAACAGGATTTTGAATTTCAATGAGACTCCCATTTCCCTCACTGATAAAAGCCGATCCTCCCCAACAAATTGTTGAGGTGTAGTGTGTCAGTCTCGGCTTGACCTGCATGCTCCCTTGTCCAGCGGCTATTTGCCGTTCAGGATTCCTACTGGAATGAAAATAAACTCAAGACACGCCAGGATGCGTCCGCAGGCTGGGAGTCCCCTCAGCGCTGCGCGGCTGCGCGTTTTGTTTTGGGTCCATTCAGTGTATCCTTTAACAGGTGATGCCAGATGCAGATAAGCGGCCGCCGCTGCCTGTCCTCTGTCTAGACTTGCCACCACGGGCCTCGGGTTGGTATGACACTATGACAGTTGTCTAAATATTATTTTATCGTTAAATCACTGAACGAAACATTGTGCAAGATTTGCTATGAGGAGGAATTAAACAGGCCTATTGGGTTTGATTCAGTGACACATGGACCAAATGGTTTATAATATCATGCCAGCCATCAGGCGCTCATCCGTTTGGCTCAGAAAGAGAGCAGGCCTAAATATAAGCAGGGTTTCTACCTCAGGGTTTCGTGAACTGAAGCTTGCAGATTACTGACAGAGAAAGGCACCCCCCAAAAAATCGGGTAACTGAACATTTGTAACACTTACATATTCAATTTCTGATTGCCAAAACGTGTATATTTCTGTATTTATTTGTATTGGGTTTTTTTTTTGTTTTGTTTTAGCCCTTATTGTCATGTAAACAAGAGAGCTCCTCCAGCTCTAACCTCCACTTAAAACAGTGTCAAGCATTATAAGCTGCAGATGCGTTTCCATTTAGGCTACCTTAAAACTGATTTATTTCCCCCGACTATAATGAAAAATCCTCGCAAGGTTTACGAAACAAAATGGATTTTGCATGCAATAATCAGTTAGAACTATTGTTTTATTGATAAGATAGGCTATGTCTGTCCTCATAATAAATAATAATAACTTATTTTCTGGAGAAAGCGCGAACAGGGCGCATCTCATCTGTTTCATTCATTTACAAGAGTCGATATTGAAACTTACAAATCATGCACATCTACACAGTTTGTAGCTATTGTGGGTTTCCTGATAAACATACTGTAAACATTAACGTTCAGACGTCCAATGCAGGCTCACGTATTCGATTCCCATAACATATTCACCACGTCATGGGCCAGTTCAGGCATTGGCATCATGGTAGAAGGCAAGTAGAAGCCCACAGTGTCCATCAACAGCTGCGTGTCCTGCCGGAGTGTCCTTGAGCAAGACCGTGAGCTTAGATGTTTAAACGTGAAAGGAATAGTCAGACATCCAATCCTCCATTCGGGACCTGAATGTATCCTCAAGCATAATCCATCCTGGTCCCTTTATTATTATTCTTGTTTCTTCATTGGATGTAACTGAGGTCTCTGCGCGTCCGTGCCAGAGGACTCGGGTGCGCGCTCGGGGGTGTGGGGGTGTTGG